TTGGTGGGGGGGGGGATTCATGAGGATTATTACACCTTGCAAAATCATAGAATAGAACTTATTACATGAACATCTGGATTCATATATTTTGTATATAACATGTGCGTTTTTATATCTTTTATTTCAAAAGAAGAAGTATTGTTTTTCTTCTGTGATCATGTCACAAAAGTAAATTAGCTAAGCTAGTTAGTATTTTTCACGAAAACAAACGATTTTATTCCTGATCAAGGTTTAAAATCTGCAGAGATTTATTTTAAAATGTACCCATTATACTTGTACCGACACAGATGACCTTGTACCGGCAAAGATGAACTTGTACCGGCACAGATGAACTTGTATCGGCACAGATGAACTTGTATCGACACAGATGAACTTGTATCGGCACAGATGACCTTGTACTGGCACAGATGAACTTGTACGGCACAGATGAACTTGTACCGACATAGATGACATTTGTAGCGGCACAGATGACCTTGTACCGGCACAGATGACCTTGTACCGGCAAAGATGACCTTGTTTTGGCACAATGAACTTGTACTGGCACAGATGACCTTGTACCCGCACAGATGAACTAGTACTGGCACAGATGTACTTTTACCGACACAGATGAACTTCTACCGGCACAGATGACCTTGTAGTGGCACAGATGAACTTGTACTGGCACAGATGAACTTGTACCGACACAGATGAACTTGTACCAACACAGATGAACTTGTATCGGCACAGATGACCTTGTACTGGCACAGATGACATTTTACCGGCACATATGACCTTGTACCAGCACAGATGAACTTGTACCAGCATAGATGACCTTGTACTGGCACAGATGACCTTGTACCGGCACAGATGACCTTGTTTTGGCACAATGAACTTGTACCGGCACAGATGACCTTGTACCGGAACAGGTGAACTTGTATTGGCACAGATGAACTTGTACCGGCACAGATGAATCATTACTGGCTTAGATGAATTTCTATCGGCACAGATGAACATGTACCGGTACAGATAAACTTGTATCGTACAGAATTTTACTTGTACTGGCTTGGCGCCATTGCTAAGGCGAGTTGAATCATCAGTTCAGTCTTTGTCCCAATTTAAATAATTTAAACATACATTTTTGCGCGTTTTATGTTATACACATTTTTGCCAATAAATGCGCTTCTAATGAAAAAGAAAACTTTAAAATTTTAAAATGGTTGAATTATAGACCAAAACATGATTGAATTCAAAATGAAGAAAGACAGGGTTAGGACCATAGATAAACACCAAACCACCCCGCTTATCATTGAAGTACACTTTGACCCCTAGAAGTATGAGTTCGCGGACTGTACAATTCTTTTGCGTACATAAGCTATTTATTTATCTATGGTTAGGGCAGGTAGTTGGTACAGTACAAAAATCAAATTTTAATACACTTTTCGCAGTAAGTGGAGTACGTGGCCTGTACATATATTATGACCTCGTTGGTTTTTAACAATTTATTTTGCTCACATTAAGTTAACCTTTCAGAGGAGAAAACATTTTAAACCACTCTTCAAGTTGCATGATCAGAGCCGGTACAAAATGTATATTGTACTGTTTATATATTCAGTTGTACTGTCCAGTCTGGACTACCAAGTGTAGAGTCGACAAACCACGTGTTATTAAAAAAATTAGTCTTACAAGATGACACATGAGTTTGAACATTAAATGAAATCTGCGCCAAAAACTAAAAAATTCAGTTCAGCTGTTTCTTGACATTTGTTGGTAACAAACAAACAAGCCAAAAAAGTACTTTTTTTTGGTCAATTATATTGAATTTTACGGTTTACCCCTATACAGTATTTACAGTATTGGTGTAAACTGTATGTCTTTAAATGAATATCATCTTATATATTATTAAACTAAATTAATTCTTTGGAAAAACTCAAACTAATAGGTTGTTTATTAAACCTTCTTTCTTTTAATATTTATAGCTGTTAATTTTACTCGGCAGCCATTTTTTTTATAACTTATAAAAACAACAATGTAAAAATGTGTGGATTTTCTATTTTTAATGGTGGATTTTCTTAAGATTCTTATAACCGAAACCTTTCCTGAAGGATGGGAGTCCCAGGCCAGCCACAACAATTTCTCGTCCGAGCCACATATTCTCCTCATTTTCTCGTCCGAATCCTCGTCCTTTGATTATTATGTGTTTTAAGGTTTCCAATTCTAGAAGATAAAACTATTTTTTTAAATCTGGCCACATTAGGTTATAAAATATGGATAGACTAAAGTATTGTAATGATTATATCACGTTGGAATCTTCAAACCCGTGAGAATGATGTCAAAGTTTATTTAGGTAAAACTTAAATATCTTCTGCCTCCGTAATTGCTTACCTTCGCGATAAAAAATAAATAGGAAAATATTCGGCATACCTCTGTCTATAATATTCACATGGAACCACCAGAAAAAAATTCTATGGTTTTCACTATAATTAACAAAAAAGATTGAATTTATTTGTGGCATTCTACGCCAGGAATATCTGAAAATACGTGTAAAAAAGGTGAACATTTTTTCGATTTACAAAAATTCTATATTTCATTTATGCCCTAACGTGGCCATTCTTCCCCTAAGCTAATGAGTGCCAGTGCCAAGAAAATTTTCATACTTGAATTATATGGAATTTTACGATTCACAAGTAAGGAATATAGATTATTTCCTTCATACATTAATTAAAATAAATTGGAGGGTCTCATAGACTCATTTATTATTAAAATGAATGAATTCTTTGGAAAAACGCATTATTGACCAAACTGGCAAATGACCCTCGTCCCTTAGAACCGTAAACAGAACCTTTTCTGTCTTATAAAGAAATTTTTAACCACAGTTATACTTCTTGTATTAAATTTACATTAACTTCCGCCAAAGATGTTGTAAATAAGCACCAATAAAGTAAGGAAAAAAGCATTAAAAAATTGAAATCTGTTATATTATACGTAGTAACGTAAACCATGCAGAAGAATTCTTGTTATATAAACGGGGCATGCATGATTCACAACAGTACATTACCGTAGTTTTTCTTGTTTAAA